ACACTTGATAGTGTATATATGTTGATGCTACTTTCTCCATTCGTCCCATTCTCTTCTTCCACCTCTTTGTCCACAAATCCGTTTTTTGCATCTGTGTCTCCATTTCTTCCCTGCAGGTAGGTTCATGAATACCATTTTTCTAGTTTCCATATATATGTGTTAATATATGATATTTGTTATTCTCTTTCTGCGGAGAAGGCAATGGCACCCCACTCCAGTACTCTCACCTGGAAAATCCCATGGACGGAGGAGCCTGGTAGGCTGCAGTCCATGGGGTCGCGAAGAGTCGGACACGACAGAAGGACTTCACTTTCACTTTTCACTTTCATGCATTAAAGAAGGAAATGGCAACCCAGTCCAGTGTTATTGCCTGGAGAATCCCAGGGACAGGGGAGCCTGGTGGACTGCTGTCTGTGGGGTCACACAGAGTCAGATATGACTGAAGTGACTTAGCAGCTGCAGCAGCATTCTCTTTCTGACTTACTTCCCTCTGTAAATAGGCTGTAGCTTCATCCAGCTCACTGAAAGTAACTTAAAATTCGTTCTTTTTAATGGCTGAGTAATATTCCATTGTATACATATACTCCATCTGCTTTATCCATTTGTCTGTCAGTGGGCATCTAGGTTGCTTCCATGTCCTGGCTATTGTAGATAGTGCTGCAATGAACATTAGGGTACATGTGTCTTTTAGAATTGTGGTTTGCTCAGAGTATATGCCCAAGAGTGGGATTGTTGGGCCATATGATAGATTTATTCCTAGTTTTTAAGGAATCTCCCTACTGTTCTCCATAATGGCTGTATCATTTTACATTCCCACCAACAGTACAGGAGGGTTCTCTTTTCTCCACATCCCCTCCAGCATTTATTGTTTGTAGATTTTTTTTTGATGATGGGCATTCTGAGTGGTGTGAGGTGATACCTAATTATAGTTTTGATATGCATTTTCCCAATAATGAATGATGTTGAGCATCTTTTCATGTGTTTATTGGCCATCTGTATATCTTCTATGGAGAAATGTCTGTTTAGGTCTTCTGCCCATTTTTTGATTGGGCTGTTTTTATTTTTCTTATATTAAGCTTTTATATTCTGAATTTTGGAGATTAATCCTTTGTCATTTGCTTCAGTTGCACTTATTTTCTCCCATTTTGAGAGTTGTCTTTTAATCTTGTTTATTGTTTCCTTTGCTGTGCAGAAGCATATAAGTTTAATTAGGTCACACTTGTTTATTTTTATTTCCATTACTGTAGGAGGTGGGTCATAGTGGATCTTGCTGTGATTTATGTCAGGGAATGTATTGCCTATGTTTTCCTCTTAAGAGCTTTATAGTTTCTGGCCTAACATTTAAGTCTTTAATCCATTTTGAGTGTTTTATTTTTGTGTGTGTATGGTGTTAGGAACTGTTCTAGTTTCATTCTTCTACAGGTTGTTGTACAGTTTTCCCAGCACTACTTATTAAAGAGCTGTCTTTTCTCCATTTTATATTCGTGCCTCTTTTTGTCAAAGATAAGGTGCCCATAGGCACGTGGGTTTATCTCAGCTTTCTATCTTGTTCCATTGGGCTATATTTCTGTTTTTGTGTCAATACCATACAGTCTTAATGACTGTAGCTTTGTAGTATAGTTTGAAGTCAGGAAGGTTTATTTCTCCAGCTCTGTTTTCCTTTCTCAAGATCGCTTTGGCTATTTGGGGTCTTTGGTGTTTCCATACAAACTGTGAAGTGTTTTTGTTCTTCTGTGAAAAATGCTATTGATAGTTTGATAGAGATTACATTGAATCTATAGATTGTTTTACATAGTATAGATGTTACATTGTGAAGTAGAAGCAGTCAAATATTTTGGATAATTACAAGGTATTTGCTGGGAGACAAATTTTTATTGTTTCAGGAGCTCAAACTTACGGGGCTGATCAACTAGGAATATGTAATTTACAACAATTGCATTTGTGCATAAATACATCCCTCAGAAGATAAAGCACTTGAGCTTGAGAGACCTTCTTCAAATCCTGGCTCTCTGGTGTCCTAGCAGTGTGACTTAGAGCAAGTTGTTTCTTTTTTCCCCTTCCTTCTCTCACAACTTTTTGAGGTAGTTACTGTTATTTTTCTTATTCATATGAGGAAATGAAGCCCAGAAAATCTCAGTAATAACTTTCTCAGAGTTGTACATTTAAGTGATGGATCTGGGATTTGGACCCAGGCAGTTTGATCCCATGATTCATAGTGGGCCTTAGTGAGAGTCTCTGAGCAGCTCTTTTCTTCAGAGCCAAATATTAGTGATCTCTTCTGGATTTTTTTCTCCAAGCACTTTTAGAAATGGAATACTTGTTTTGTGGCTAATTTTGGATTGAATCTCATTTTACAAATGAGGACTTAAATATTTTTTTAGTGACTATTTCAACTACCAATTTGTAAACTTTCTTATTTGACCAAGTGCCAGAAACATAATTTTTACTGTAAGAGTGATTCTGGATAGCAGTAAGGATATATTTTGGGAAAAAAAAAATAATACTTTAAATTTCTGGCACAATTTTAGATATATTTTGCTTTCCCTATAATTTTAATGTAACATGTTTCTAGTTCACTTCCCAAATAGACTGTCTCTCAATTAGTTGGTTTTTAACTATATTGTCTAGGAGAAAAAGACAACCATTTTGTTAGGAATTTGCTACCTTTTATTTAGATGGAGCAGCTGTGTAATTATTTGGTTTTTTTCTTTGACCCCCAAATCTCAAGTTTTGTACAACATTTTAATTCATTATCTTAGAAGAAAGGAATTTTCAAATTGTTATTTTACAAACGAGAAACTAAGGTTACAGAAGTCATCTTTTAAAAGTGTGTACACTGAAGCAGGAGCATGGATTTTAAACCTAGGCTGTTGTATAATTTAGAGCAAGCTACTAGATTGTCATCTGTAAAAATTGTCATATTTCTCATTGGGATGATGTGTAGATTAAGTAAGTATGAAAAGTCCTTGGCCTGGCAGTAGGCATGAAATAAATGCTAAGTATTAGTAAAAAATAAAGTGTGTTTGCATATGTGTGCGTGTGCATGCTAGGTCGCTTCAGTCATGTGTGACTCTTCATGACCTTAGGGACTGTAGCCCACTAGTCTCCTCTGTCCACGGGATTCTCCAGGCAAGAATACTGGAGTGGGTTGCCACGCCCTCCTCCAGGGGATCTTCCCAACCCAGGGATCAAACTGTGGCTCCTGCATTGCAGGCAGATTCTTTACTGTTGAGCCACCAGGGAAGCCCATGCATGTGTGTATATCTTATAAAATCTCATAAGGCAAAATGTCTCAATGGTTTGGGTGAGTGGCCTATCCAGCCTGTGGTTCTGGGTTATAGGAGACTTTTTTAAATGCTTGTCATGGATTTCACCTCACCACCAATCTAAGAAGCATTTATTTCTTTTTAAAATTATTTATTTATTTGTCTTGGCTCTGCTGGGACGTTGTTGGTGTGTGAGGTTTTCTTTGGTTTCGGTGAGTGGGGGCTACTCTCTAGTTGTGGTGCACCAGTTTATCTACTGGCTTTCTCTTGTGGAGCACGGGTTCTCGGGCGTGTGGGCGTCACTAATTGCAGCATGCGGGTTCAGTGGTTGCAGCTCCAAGGCTCTGAAGCACAGGATCAATAGTTGTGGCACAGAGGCTTAGTTGCTCTGCGGCACGTGGGATCGTCTCAGAGCAGGTATTGAACCCGTCTGTGTCGCCTGCTTTGGCAGCCGGATTCTTTACCACTGAGCCACTAGGGAAGCCCTAAGAATCCTTTAGGTATCATACCTAGGATGGATTTGTTTTTAAATTTTATTTGTTTTTAAATTTGAATTTTTTGAGAGGAATACCCTTGGAAGAAAAGACTTTGTTCATGATAGTCACATCTCTGATTTTTTTTTTCCTATTGATCAGACTTGTCTAGCTTGTCCTTCCCAGTAGAAGTGTCCAAATTTGTTATGTCCTCTACACGAAAGAAATACCTTCTGTCATCTCTCAAACTATTTCAAATTGTCTTTTGTTAGGGGCCTTACTCTAGTGTTAACCGCAGATCTTTTGCATAAGATTGCCCGCCAGCAGGTATAAAATGACACTGTACAAGGTTAATATACCAATATGTAGTGTATTAGTATATGGGCTGCCATAACAAAACACCATAGACTAGGTAACTTAAACAAGGGAATGTTAATTCTTACAGTTCTGAAGACTGGGAAGTCTTAAGACCGAAGTGTGGGCAAGTTAGGTTTCATTCAGGGCCTCTTTTCTTGGCATATAGGTTGCTGCCTTCTCACTGTGTGCTCACATGACCTCTTCATGTGACCATGGCCTGACCCTCATGACCTCATGTATTCCTCATTAGCTCTGAAAGGCCCTGTTTTCAAACATGACTCACTGGATCTTAGGGCTTCAACATAATGAATTTGGGGGGAAACACAGTTTATAACATATGGCATATATTGGTTAAGAAAGGGAGCTCTGGAGTCTTAATACTTATGTATTGCCAGAGTCTTTGTTACTTATGTACTGAATGAGTTTCTTAATTTGTCTGTCTCTCAGTTTTTTAATCTGTTCAATGGGATATTAACAACACTGTAACAGTAGGATTATAAGGAGTAAAATGAGTTCTTGCATCAGGTAAAGCACTTAGAATAACAAATAGAGAATATGCATGATTTTCTGGAAGTGTTCTAGATTGAACATAGACCAATAAAAAAGAAAAGATTAGCGTATTAAAGCCATGATGATCCATGAAGTTTCTTTAACATAAACATGTTGTTGCCTTTTGAGAAATGGTAGGCTCTATGGGTAGCATTTAATCAGTTTTGTGGATTATAATCTAATCTGGATTAATGGAACTACTAATGGTACTCCTTTTTCCTTTCCATCTTGACGTTTGCTCTGTAGATAAAACTTTGTGTAACTTATTACGACTGAACCCCTTGCTTGCTCCTCTTTAGTCTCCTCTCAGCTCTGTCTTTATCTCTGCTGAGGTTATATTCTATTTGTTTTTCAGATGAGACACTTTTTGCTCTTCCTGCTGCATCTGAGCCTGTGATACACTCCTCTGCAGGCAAGTTCTTTCTGCTAGCCTTTTATCTTCTGTGTATTCTAACTTTAACTTTTTAGTTTTGTTAACTCTATGCTTAGTAGTTTGAATTTACTAAAAATTAGCATGATTCCAAGAATGTTTGTCTACTGACCAAGTTGAAACTTGCATTTTATATGCTGTATCCAAGAGAGAAATGGGCAGAAAGCTGATTAATAATTGGAAATGTGTAAGGAATTCTTGGACCCTTGATTTATGTTTACTTATTGACTAGTCACTTCCTCCAGATACGGTTTATTTTCTTAGAGCTGACAGGCTTTCACAGAAAAGAATGCCAGTCTGTGGCATTTAATTATCCCGTGCCCCTTCCTTCCTGTGCTTTCAGTCAGACTAGACTCTTCTCAGATTCTCATTTCTTCCTCTAAGACTAGTTAATAGTAGTTTTCCTCAGTTAATTTTACTTGAGGTTTTTCTCAAAGACTTGATGTCTTTGCATGGCATATAATTGCCTCTATAGCTGTGCACATACTTTTTGACTGTAGCTTTAATTTCTTCAATAATGATTCAGTCTACTTGATTATTATTTATAAACTAAATGTTAGTAGCATTTTAGTTAACAGTAAGTCTTTACTAACACTGTTTTTTGAATCTGTCATAAAACTTGCATTAACTCTGAGCATTAGCATCAGAACACTGGCATTCTCTAACTTTCCTTTCTGTCCATGGTCACAGAAAAAATTATGGATTTGAAGGAGCAGCCAGGTAACACTGTTTCTGCTGGTCAAGAGGATTTTCCGTCTGTCCTGCTTGAAACTGCTGCTTCTCTTCCTTCTTTATCTCCTCTCTCAGCTGCTGCTTTTAAAGAACGTGAATACCTTGGTGATTTACCAGCAGTACTACCCACTGAAGGAACACTTCCAGAAATTTTAAATGAAACTTCTAAAGCATTCTCAGAGAAGACAAAAAATCCATTTGTAGAGAGAAATTTAACAGAGTTTTCAGAATTGGAATACTCAGAAATGGAATCATCATTCAGTGGCTCTCAAAAAACAGAACCTGCCATAACAGTAGCAAATCCTAGGGACGAAATAGTTGTGAGGAGTAAAGATAAAGAAGAGGACTTAGTTAGTCGTAACATCCTTCATACTCAGCAGGAGTTATCTACAGTCCTTACGAAATCAGTTAAAGAAGGAGATAGAGTTCTGTCTCCAGAAAAAACAAAGGACAGTTTTAATGAAAAGGGAATTGCAGCAGAAGCTTCTATGAGGGAGGAATATGCAGACTTCAAACCGTTTGAGCGAGTATGGGAAGTAAAAGATACTTACAAGCAAGATAGTGATGTTTTGGCTGCTGGAGGTAGTATAGAGAGCAAATGGGAAGATAAAGTGGATAAGAAACGTTTTTCAGATAGCCTTGAACCAACAAGTCATGAAAAAGAAAGTGAAAGCAGTAATGATGACACTTCATTTCCCAGTACACCAGAAGCTATAAAAGGTGGTTCAGGAGCATACATCACATGTGCTCCCTTTCACCCAACAACAACTGAGAATGTTTCAACAAACATTTTCCCCTTGTTGGAAGATCATACTTCAGAAAATAAGACAGATGAAAAAAAGATAGAAGAAAAAAAGGCACAAATTGTAACAGAGAAGAATGCAAGCGCCAAAACATCAAACCCTTTCCTTATGGCAGCACAGGATTCGAAGGCAGATTACGTTACAACAGATCATGTGTCAAAGGTGACCGAGGAAGTAGTGGCAAACATGCCTGAAGGTCTGACCCCAGATTTGGTTCAGGAAGCATGTGAAAGTGAATTGAATGAAGCTACTGGTACAAAAATTGCCTTTGAAACAAGAATGGACCTGGTTCAAACTTCAGAAGCTGTGCAGGAGTCACTTTACCCTGTAACACAGCTTTGCCCATCTTTTGAAGAATCTGAAGCTACTCCTTCACCGGTTTTGCCTGACATTGTCATGGAAGCACCATTAAATTCTGTAGTTCCTAGTGCTGGTGCTTCTGCAGCGCAGCTCAGTTCATCCCCATTAGAAACTCCTCCTTCAGTTAATTATGAAAGCATAAAGTTTGAGCCAGAAAATCCCCCACCATATGAGGAGGCCATGAATGTCTCACTCAAAAAAGAATCAGGAATGAAGGAAGAAATCACAGAGCCTGAAAGTATCAGTGTAGCTGTTCAGGAAACAGAAGCTTCTTACATATCTATTGCATGTGATTTAGTTAAAGAAACAAAGATCTCTACTGAACCAACTCCAGATTTCTCTAGTTATTCAGAAATAGCAGAAGTTGCACAGCCAGTGCCCGAGCATTCTGAGCTAGTTGAAGATTCCTCCCCTGATTCTGAACCAGTTGACTTATTTAGTGATGATTCAATACCCGAAGTTCCACAAAAACAAGATGAAGCTGTAATACTTGGGAAAGAAAATCTCATTGAAATTTCATCTGAGTCAATGACAGGACATGAAAATAAGGGAAAACTCAGCGCTTCACCACCACCTGAGGGAGGGAAACCGTATTTGGAGTCTTTTCAGCCCAGTTTAGGCATCACAAAAGATACCTTAGCACCTGATGAAGTTTCAGCATTGACCCAAAAGGAGAAAATCCCTTTGCAGATGGAGGAGCTCAATACTGCAGTTTATTCAAGTGATGGCTTATTCATTGCTCAGGAAGCAAACCTGAGAGAAAGTGAGACATTTTCAGATTCATCTCCAATTGAGATTATAGATGAGTTCCCTACTTTTGTCAGTTCTAAAGCAGATTCTTCTCCTACATTAGCCAGGGAATACACTGACCTAGAAGTACCCCACAAAAGTGAAATTGCTGACATCCAGGATGGAGCTGGGTCATTGGCTTGCGCAGGATTGCCCCGTGACCTTTCTTTCAAGAGTATACAACCTAGAGAGGAAGAAGTTCATGTCCCAGATGAGTTCTCCAAAGATAGGGGTGATGTTTCAAAGGTGCCCATGCTGCCTCCAGATGTTTCTGCTTTGGATGCTCAAGCAGAGGTAGGCAGCATAGAAAAACCCAAAGTTCTTGTGAAAGAAGCTGAGAAAAAACTTCCTTCTGATACACAAAAAGAGCGAAGATCACCATCTGCTATATTTTCAACAGAGCTGAGTAAAACTTCAGGTAATCAATCCATACGTTATTTTGTGCTTTCTTGCCAGCTTGTGACTTACGGAACATTCTACTACCTTTTGTGTAGTATGTTATGTGTATAGGGTCTAAATAGATCACATCGGTAAGAATTCTTTTTACTGGCTCAGTTAAAGGTTTTAGTGCTTTTTTTTTTACCCCTCTTGCACTCATAATTCACTCTTGCTCTTAACTTGCCAATAATTATTTGCTGGTAATTTTTATATTGCACCACAGAACTGGAACAAAATTTTATTAGAATTGACTTTAATGTCTATTTCTTTCTTCTCTTTTGCTTTATTGTTTCCTAATAGCATAAAGAGCAAGAGGTATTAAAAATTAAATATTTTCAGATATATTTACTTTTATTTTCCCAGCAATATCCTCATTTTAAAATCTTAAAGAAAGAACATTTCTGTTACTTATCTCTACTACTTCAATATAATGCAGTAATTCCAGTAGTAGGTGTAAAGTTAAGCATATTGAGTATTAGACATTTTGTTGAAGTGTACATTGAGGTATGCTATTATTAATTCTCCTGAAAAGTACTAATTCTCATTTTTTTCTTTTGACTCCACATTTCCCACATACCTGATTTGTGTAATTTGTGCATTTGTTTTTATTCAGCATTCTAATTTAGATGTGTTTCCTATAAAAATATGTAGTGATTACTGTGAATTTACGGAATATACTTAGGCATTGGAGATAGGTAGTACTGGTGGCAGAGACCAGTTTACAGGTTGTTGCTATAATCAAAGAAAGGGGAGATCACGAACATTAAGGCAATGGGATGGGCACAGAGACGTAATAGTGTTTGATTGGAATCGGGCGTGAAGATAACGGGAAGAGTTAAAGCTTACTCTGGGGAACCCGGGTTCCTTTTATGTGCAGATACATGGATGGCAGTATGGGAAACTGAGTTGGAAACATGAGAAAATAAAAGTGGGTTTAATGGGAGAAAATACTCAGTTTTTTTTTGTTTTTAAGAGTGCTCAGTGTTTATTAGACATAGCAGTATAATCTGTAGATTATTCATGTGCAAGGCAGGTGCTGTTTTAAAGTGTTTTTTAATTGGAGTCTAATTGCTTTACAGTGTTCTGTTAGTTTCTGCTGTGAATCAGCTGTGTGTGTAATATATTCCCTCCCTCCTGCCCAGCCCTGTACCACCCCTCTAGATCATCAGAGCATGGAGCTGAGCTCCTCAAGGTATCTGGTAGCTTCCCATTAGCTGTCTGTTTTACACATTACCATGTGTATATATATACAGATATACCAGTGTATAGATATACAGATATACCATGTGTATAGATATACAGATATACAGGTATACCAGTGTATATATATACAGATATATAGATATACCATGTGTATATATATACACAGATATACCATGTGTATAGATAAACAGATATACAGATATACCATGTGTATAGATATACAGATATACAGATATACCCTGTGTATAGATATACAGATATACCATGTGTATAGATATACAGATATACCATGTGTATAGATATACAGACATACCATGTGTATAGATATACAGACATACCATGTGTATAGATATACAGACATACCATGTGTATATATATACAGATATACCATGTGTATATATATACAGATACCAGTGTATATCTGGCTACTCTCTCTGTCCCACCCTCTCCTTCCCATACTGTGTCCGCAAGTCTGTTCTCTGACTGCAGCTCTGTTCCTGCCCTGCAAATAGGTTCATCAGTACCATTTTTTCTAGATTCCTTATATATGTTTTTCTCTTTCTGACATACTTCACTCTGCGTGTCAGACTCTGGGTTCATCCACGTCACCAGATGACCAGTAAAAATTCAGTTCTGAGAATGTTGTAATTAAGGTACCTGTGTGACATCCAAGAATGAGAGATATTATAAATAGGAAGCTCTTGAGAGAGCCCTTAACTGTATGCATGTATTTACTGTGGACTCGAGGCAGTAGTTAAAGCCACAGACATCAACTACAGGGAACGGTTACAGGTGGAAGAATTGATCAACAGTATCAAATTCTGGAGAGGCTTAGTTAAGAATTGAGAATTTGTCAGAAGGAAGGGAGTTGTAATGGTCATCTCTGTTCTCAGAGGGCTAATGATTTTCTGCATCCTTGTTTGTGCTCTAGTTTTGTTTGTTTTTTTTTTTAAATTTCTGTGTCTTAATACTGAATATACTTTTAAACATGAAAACATTAATCAGTGTTAAATAATAAAACTTGCTCAGATAATTTATTATCTCTGATTTGTTCCCCTTGTTTTCTTAAAATGACATTTATAGGCAGGATTCAATTTTAATTGGGTGGGGAGACTGATTTTAATCAGCAAAGGAGATGAGCAAAATGTGATGCAGACTTTGATGCCTTGTTGCTATTTTTAGATCAAATTAATTCAAAATGTATTTTTTTTGCTTTGTTTTTTGTTTTTTATGTTTTTTGGGATATAGTTGATAAACACTATTGTATTAGTTTCAGGTTGTACAGTAAAGTGAATCTGTTCTATATATCATATATCCTCTCTTTTTAAGGTTCTTTTCCCATATAGGCCATTATAGCATATTGGGTAGAGTTCCCTGTGCTATACATTAGGTCCTTATTAGTTATCTATTTATTGTATATAGTAGTGTGTAAATGTTAATCTCAATCTTCCAATTTATCCTTCCCCTTTCCTAACCGCCCCCACCCCCACATAACCACATGTTTATTTTCTACATCTGTGACTATTTCAGTTTTGTAAATAAGTTTATTTGTACACTTTTTTTTTTAAGATTCAACATAAAAGCGGTATCATGATATTTGTCTTTCTCTGTCTGACTTCACTCAGTGTGACAAACAGTACAGTGTGGAAAAGGGAGGAAAAGAGTCATTTATAGTGGAGGAGTCTGAAATACTACTTAACCTCAGCCAGGTGACCAGGGCTAACATCCACAGTGATAAGCTGTGTTGATAGTCTGTACCCAAATAGAGGGATATCCTACAAAATAATCTGGCTAGTACTTCTCAGAACTGTCAAGGTCATCAGAAACAATGAAGTCTGAGAAAGTAAGGAGACATGATGATTAAATGTAATGTGATACCCTGGATGGAATAGCAGGACAGAAAGAGGACATTATGTGAAAACTAAGAAAACCCAAATAAAATATGGACTTTAGTTAATAAAAATGTATCACTATTGACTCATTATATATGACAAGTGTACCATAGTAATATAACAAGGAACTGAGTACAGGGTATATGCTAACTCTCTGTAATATTCTTGTGATTTTTGTGTTAATCCAAAAGAATTGTAAAATAAAAAAGCTTATTAAACGTTCTTTTTAAAAACGCCTAGAAATTACCTGGCATATTTAGGCATTCAACAAGTGGTAGCTTTTTTATTTTTTAAATGATTTTTGACATTTTGAGATATAAAGGAAACCTTTTTTTGTTTTAATTTGAATTTTTTTGATTACTTAAGAGTCTGGATCATTTTTTAAAGCTTCTCTTTGCTTTTTATATTCCTGTCCTTTATCTGGTTCAGTCAAGCTGTATTCTTTTTAATTTTTTTGGCCATACCGCATGACTTGTGGAATCTTAGTTCCCTGACCAGGGATTAAACACGGCCCACTGTGGTGAAAACACTGAGTCCTAACCACTGGACAACCGGGGATTCCCTCAGAGTATATACTTCCATCATGAAATGGAAATACTGGTCTCTCAGTTCATAATTATGAATGTTCATTATGTTATTTTTTGCTTCACTGTACTTCATTATTTAGAGGCTGAGCATTTCATATATGTTCTTTATTTACTTTAAAAAAGATTTGTGGCTAAAGATTTATGCTTTTGGTACCTTGGTGGTTTTCATTTTTTGCTCAAGATATGTTATGATTATCACTGGCATTTTAATTTTTCACTTTCCACTTATTTTAAATATAAATATCTAAATTAAAATATTTTAATAATTGCTTAAATTTATACTACTAAATTTAGACCCATATAGTGAGACTTCTGAAAAGTTAACTGACAGCACTACCAGATGACAATTGAAATGCTTTTCTCAGATGAATAGAAGTCTCAGTTTGGCATAGAGTGATAGTTCAGGGATATAAATGTATAATGATTGGAAGATCATTAACAGTACGAAGGGCACAAAGAAGCTCTCTCTACCTTGGGATATTAGGAATGGCTACACAAAGAGATGCTACTTTAAAAGGTAGAGTTAGCAAATGTGAGTGAACATATAGACTTATTCATTTATATAAATATGATAAAAGTTTTCCAGATCCTGTTTTGATATTTTGGGGGTGATGTGTGGGTATTACGGTCAGTATGTAGAAACTTACTCACTCAAAGCTAGGGATAGATGAATTTGCAAACTGGCCACAAGGGACTCAGTGAAAAGAAACATCAGGTTTATTCAGAACTAAAATGAAAAACCAGTCAGTCAAAGGAGGGTTTATTACACCTTAGGTGCTAAATTTCCTGTGACTGGAATTAAGCTGAATTTTTAGCAAACCTATGGTATCACTTGAGTTTTTAAGATAATTGCTTTTTTAAAAACAACTTTCATTTGGGAGTAATTTCAAACTTAAAAATAATTGCAAAAATAAAAGTACAAAGAATATCTTACACTTTTCATCTAAATTTACCTACTAACATTCCCCTATTGGCTTTATTATTTATGATCTCTTTTGATAAATAACTAGACAATGGATACATAAATACATCCTTTTTTCCAGAACCCATGAGATAAGTTCTGTACATTCTGTGTTACCCCTAAATACTTAAAAAAGGGATATTCTCTTACATGACCTCAGGACAGTTGTTAACTTTGTAAATTTGCGTTGCTAACAGCACTTTGTTCTAACCCACCGTTCACATGCCAGTTGTTAGTTGACCTGGTGACTTCTGCAAGGTTCAGTCTAGAGCCACGTTTTATATTGAGTTGTTATGTTGCCTTTGGTTCCTTTAATCTGCAGCATATCCAGTCTTTC